CATAATCACCGTTCTCTTAACTYTTTTATTCTTTAGATTGCAACATTTTAATTGGCACATAAAATCAGCATGAATTTTTTCATGGATTHTGTCATGGTTTCATCAACTTTCTTTACGTTATTTATACGTCAATAGAAAAAGTGTAAAAATTTACAACTGAATGATTCAAAAAGTGATATAAATATACTGAATCAAATTTTTCGACAGTAAACAAATGATTCAAAAATTGAATGTTATTTCTAGAAGATGGAGAGTGGTCATTATCATCAAAGGTTATCCGCGCGTTAAAAGGCAAACGTAGTATGTTGCCAAAAAAGACARGATCACTGTTATGATCGTAAATTTATAATGTCTACAACGAATGACCACTCTCGCAACGGGATCATCCTTTAATAGACTCGTATAGACTTATTCTCTTCGCTCTTCTTTGTGTCATCATCAACATGATGGTTAGCACAACAATTTATATTCATATCTAAAGATCGAAAGCCCAAGATGAATCAAAATTCGAGAAAGAATTAAAAAGCTATGAATTCGATTCAAATCCAACCATCCCTAACACTTGTCCAAGGTTCCTCTAATTTGATAAGTCTTTGAGAAAATTCCTCTGACATATATACCCATAAACTAATGTAGTATGCAGACATGAATCCATATCGGCATATCATTATAAGCAAAAGAAATCAAACCGACTTGGACTCCGTGACTCCCTCCATTAGTTTTGGTCAATTATTAAAACAAAATTCACTTATTCAAATTTCTATCTTATTTTGTTAAATATGATTATCTCTTAAAACCAAAAAATGCATTGTTTGGAGTGAAAGGTTGTGTTGTTGACCAAAAAAAAAAGGAGTGAAAGGTTGTGTCCGGCAGAAAAATAAGGAAGCAAGTAACTAAYTACAATCGCAGCCCTTCGTTTCCTTCCTTTAAAAAAATTATTGGACACGTGTCAACAAAGTAGAAATCCGCGCATGCTATAAATTATTCACACCCAATCTGCTAAGTTTTTGATAATTTTGTTCTTCATCTATAAATTTCACCCTAAATAAAAATTTAAAGAATACTTGTAGGAGTTCTTAACATTTATCCTACAACTTAKAATGTAAATAAGAAAACAATAACTTGAAACGTGAGTTATAGGTTTACTACTTACGTTTAAATAACATATCYGATGGACAATAGTATATCCATTTATTTTTAATTCTCCATCCCCGCGATTTTTTTTTAAACTTGTCACCCTTACATGTTAGTTGATATCGGCAAAAAAACTCAATTCATGGCTAAACGACACATTTTTCTCTATGAATTATCTTGGCTTTTTATTTCTTTACGCCATCTTCAAAATCACCGAGATGGCGAGATCTCCAAACTCTGTCGAGGACTGCATCTTCTAGTTTTTGCAAATGATTAAAACAAAATTTGTTTGTTCTATTTTTTCTCCTTATTATGCTATATATAGGCAATACATTTTAAAACCCATAATAAGAGTTGCATCGGCTGATGTGAAACATTGTGTCCCTAATTATAAATCACAACCGTTCGCAATTGTTTTAACAGTAAATGAAGGACACGTGTCATCACATAAAAAACCGAACTCAAGTTTTATAATATATATATAATTTTTATGCTATTTGACAAGGAAAAGCATTTATACACCGACAC